TGAATTAAATTTTTTAAAAAAATGTACAAAGTCCTAGCCGCATTGTAGAACTTGGGGATGCTTGCTCTAACTGACCGCTGTTGCCTTCACCATTCCAGTTTTAAAATTCTTTCTTTTTAAAAATTTTTTAATTTTTTTTATTTTGTCTTTTTGAGACAGGGTCTCCCTGTAGCCCCAGCTGTCCTGGAACTCACTATGTAGACCAGGCTGGCCTCGAACTCACAAATATCTGCCTGCTTCTGCTTCCCAAGAGCTGGGATTAAAGATGTGCACCACCAGGCCTAAAGCACCAAAACAAAAGAACAAATTTTTTTTAATTAAAAAAAAACAAGTAAAGCCATGCCAATGTTGTCTCTCTCTTTTTTTTTTTTTTCCGCCAAGTTAGGTTTTGTCAAGAAAGGATGTAACAGCTCACTCAGTTAATTAACAGTCTGCCTAGAAGCATTTGTGGTGGACGATAGAGGGGCCAGACTCACCTTACTCCTGCTTGCTGATCCACATCTGCTGGAAGATGGACAGTGAGGCCAAGATGGAGCCATCAATCCACATGGAGTACTTATGCTCAGGGGGAACAATGATCTTGATCTTCATCATGCTGAGAGCCAGAGCAGTGATCTCCTTCTGCATACTGTCTGCAATGCTAGGGTACATGGTTGTCCCACTAGACAACACTGTGTTGTCATAGAGGTCCTTATGGATGTCGACATCACACTTCATGGTGGAATTGAAGGTGGTTTCGTGGATATCACAGGATTCCATACCCAGGAAGGAAGGCTGAAAGAACCCTTTGGGACCTCGGAAGTGCTTGTTGCCAATGGTGATGACCTGGCCATCAGGCAGCTCATAGCTCTTCTCCAGGGAGGAGGAAGATGCAGCAGTGGCCATCCCTTGCTCGAAGTCCAGGGCAACATAGCACAGCTTTTCCTTGATGTCAAGCACGATTTCCCACTCAGTTGTGGTGGTGAAGCTGTAGCCAAGCTTGCTCGGTCAGAATCTTCATGAGGTAGTCTGCCAGGCCCTGGCCAGCCAGGTCCAGACACAGGATGGCATGGGGGAGAGCCGTAGCCCTCTTGGATGGGCACAGTGTGGGTGACCCTGTCGCCAGAGTCCATCACGATACCAGTGGTATGGTTAGAGGAGTACAGGGACAGCACAGCCCGGACGGCTACATACATGGCTGCAGTGTTGAAGGTCTTAAACATGATCTGGGTCATCTTTTCATGGTTGGCCTTAGGGTTCAGAGGGGCCTCAGTGAGCAGCATGGGGTGCTCCTTGGGGGCTACATGCAGCTCGTTGTAGAAGGTGTGGTGCCAGATCTTCTCCATGTGGTCCCAGTTGACAACACCATGCTCGATGGGGTACTTCAGGATCAGGATGCCCACATAGGAGTCCTTCTGGCCCATGCCCGCCATCATGCCCTGGTCCTGTGGGCAGCCCTTGATGGATAGGAAGATGCCTGGGGAGCATCGTGGCCCCCGAAGCCGGCTTTGCACATGCCAGAGCCATTGTCGGCAAAGTGATATTGTCATCCATGGTGAACTGGGTGAAGGGTGTGGACTGGCGGAAGAGCAGATGTGAGAGATCTAGGCTCGCGGGGTGGATGAGGACTCTACCGAGAACATTTTCTAATTAGATCATTTTTTTTCTTGATTCTTTGTTTTTTGAGTCCTTTGTATAGTTTAGAAATTAATATTTTTGGGCATTACAACAGCATTGACATATTCAATAACAATTTCCAGAGCTAAGCTGCATTTCCTTCAAGATTGGCTATAAATTTTTAGGTTTACAGTTGAATTTTATACAATATTGTACTTTAAGTAGGCTTGTGAAAGAATATATTTTCCTTCTATTTTTCACAACACCTATTATTTAGCTCCCTTTCTTTTCTCTACCACCCACATAGCCCTCCCTCCTTCCTCCCCAGTTAGAGTACTGCCACTTTACCACATTTCCCCCTTGATAATGCTTACATCATAAAGTTCTCCTCTCTCAAGCTCCTTCTTTCCCTCTTCCCCATGGTTCCTTTCTATTTTCCCAATTCCTACAGTTACTTCAGGATATACTTACATCTAGGGATTGGGATCTAGGATTCTCACATGGATGAGAAGAGGGGCCTCTTGTTTTTCTGAGTCTGCATTACCTCACTTAGTATACCAGTGTCTATTACCTGCAAACTTCATGATTTCATTTTTCTTTACCACTGAAAAGAACTGCATTGTGTAATTATATCACATATTTTTCTGTCCATCAATTGAGGGACATTTAGGTTTCCATTTTCAAGATATTATGAAAAGAGAAGCAATGAACATGACTGAGCAAGTGTCTCTGTAGTAGGAAATTGAGACCTTTGGGTATATGAAAAAGAGGGCATAGCTGGATCATATGTTAAAGAATGCTCCTTTTTTTTTCTTTCTGAGACAGGGTCTCCCCTGTAGCTCCAGCTGGCCTGGAACTCACTGTGTAGACCAGGCTGACCTCAAGCTCACAGAGATCTACCTACCTCTGCCTCCCAAAACACAAAAGGTACAACTTCAACTAATTTGGACTTTTGTATTTGGTTGATTTTTATGAAACAGAGTCTTACTATGTAGCCCAGGCTAACCTGGAATGTGTCCTCCTCCTTCCTCAGTCATCACAAGTGCTAGGATTACAGGTAAATGCCACTAGATAAAGCTGTGCTTTGTCATAAAAAAAGACTTTAACCAGGCATTGTGGGGTTAGATGATCTTTAAACAGAGTTGTGAAGGATGAGAATTGGTGTAAAGATAATGTGATTCTGACAGAACCAAACTCAGAAAACCAAATAAACAGGAATCTCAAGTGTTTTATGGCTACACACGGTACAAACAATAAACGGAAGTAGGCAATGAATGCAGTTAACTTCACAGGTAGAAAATGTGAGCATTTTCTTCTTTGCGAATACTACCTATATGTTGTGGTTTGCTATGTTGTGGGTCTCTTCCTGTGGCTGCTGATGAGGCTCTGTTCTCCAAATAGGTTCTGTACATCTGTACACAGATGACCCTCAATCTTCATACAGCAAATGACCAGGAACATCCTATAAACCAGTAGTAGCTGCTAACTCTCAGTTTCCCATACTTTGTGCCCACAGTACAATAGCAATATGTGTTTTGAATAAATGAGTAATAGGTGGGTGGAAACGTCTGCTGTGCATACAACAGAGTTTGATGGTAGAGGGAGAAATGATAGCCATTCCTTGTACATCGTTCTGTTCCTTCTTGGACTGGGGTATGCACAGACCAAACTTACATCTGCATTAAAGAGACTCTACTCACCTTTGTTCTTCAATTATG